CGTTGCTTTCCAGTGCTGTCTCTTTTATTTCAAGGCTCTTGGAGAGCAGCAGGGAAATGAAGGCTGGAGCGGGTGTCCTGGCCCGGCGCTGCCTGGCAGAGCGAGCCGTGTTTTCCCTCTTGTTCACTGGGGAGCCACGCCAGGAGAATGATTCACCCCTTTCCATCATGAACCTTGCAGAGCATCTCAAGCACCTCCTGGCTGCTGGTGTCCCCAGCAGCTGTAAGATGGAGAGAGAGTGGCAGTGACCAGGGGAAGGACCACAGGTTCCAGCGTGCAATTCTCCGCCGCGCTCCGGCTGACCGCGACGTGCGCTCCCATGGCAAGCAGAGCTCAGGCTGCATTGCAGGGCTCCACAGGCTGGCTGCCGTGTGTGAAACCAGGACTGTTCCCACCCCTTTTGTGTCCCCAGGCCTTAATGAGAGCAAGAATGCTCCTGGAGGGTCGCTAGAGAAGCTGCTGAGCGCGCTGGGGCTTTGTGCTGTGCGGAGCCGCTGCTCCGTGCACGCGGTGCCTTTGTTCCTGCTCGGATGCACCAGAGCAGAGCTCATCTCGTTAGTGATGGTTTGGCTTCCCCCCAGGACGTTTTCCTTCTGCTCTTTCCATTCCCTGCCTCCGGGTCACAGCAGTTGGGTTCAAGCCAGTGCAGTTTATTGGGGAGAGAAGCAGAAATTGAGGGGTTTGGGGTGTTTTTTTTCTCCTATGGAGATGTAATCAGGATGAGCAAAGGGTCCCAAATGCTGCATTAGTACCAGGAATGCTGGGTGAGCCTGCCCGGCCCCAGCATCCTGCTGCAGGCTTTACCTAAATTGGGAAAGAAAAAAGTGTAACAGATTGGTGTGGGGGGGAAAATCTAGCAGGATTTTTTTTCCTCAGATGTCAGAGAAGGTGGGTTTGTGTCTCTGCTGGCTCCGAGCTGGCTCGTCCCCTCCTTTGCTCTTTTGCTGTGGGCTGTGGAGCGGGAGGCTGGCAGCCCTGCTGCTATTCCTGGTGGTGACAAGCTGGTGATGGGAGACGAGGGATGGTGAAAACAAAGTGTAGGGAACATTCATTAGCAATTATCCCTGCTTGCAGCTTGAGCTGGGTGGCTGTTGGGGACATCTGATAGCCACTTAATACGTGTTCCAAGCGCTGGCTCTGGCGTCAGGGTGAGTCTGGTGGGCAGTTTCTGGAGGAGCTCAGTGCTCAGCTCCCTTTTCCACCTTCCTTTAACCTCGAGCTCTTCCTGTAGGTGTTAAGCTGCCTTGAGATGTGCTTTTCCCTTCCCTCCCACCTAATCTCCTCACAGCTGGGGTCTCCCAGACCTGTTAGCAGCAAAGTGAAGCCCAGCTGGAGAGGTGGGACGAGCAGGGGGGGCAGTGGCTGTGTGTGGAGTGTGTCCGTGGGGTGTTGGTGTGAAGCAGTGGGAGGAGCAGCTCTTGGTGAGCCACATCAGCTGCTTGCAGCCCACACAGCCCACTGGCCTCCCACCTCCCTTGCTGCCTGCTGACTGCAAGGTGGCAGAAGGTCTGAAAGGAGGCTGAATCTCTTTTTTCACACTGTAGTTGCATTGCATAACCTCTCTCTTTCGAGCTTCCCTGGTCATCTGCAGGACTGGAGAAGGGCAGGTTTGCTCCTTTCTGAGGGACAATCTGGTCTCTGGATGGTGTTTGTTGTGTCCACCTTGTAAATGCCAGGTTGCTTCCAGGTAGAGGCAGTGTAAAGCTGGAGTACCAGCACCTATCTTATTAACACCACCAGTATGAGAGAGATGAGTGCTGTTGAATTTAAGAAGGGACATCCCCCAGCAGGCTCCTGGCTGGGTTTAATTCTTGGTCTCTGGAAGAGGAGGAGCATGGTTTCACTCTGAACTGGCCTTTTATTTGAAAAACTGCTGCTGGAGATTGTCTTTACTGGGGATCACAGAATCCCAGACTGGTTGGGGTTGGGAGTGACCATAAAGTTCATCTCATTTTGTTCCCTGCCATGGGGTGAAACACACCTGCCCCTGGAGCCAGTGACACCAAGCCTGTCCAGCCTGAGCAATATGACAGGATGTGCTCTGTCCTCTCCCTCTGCCACACCAGCTCTGGGTTTGGGCTTGTAGTCCAAGCTCAGGTTTATTGAAGTGATGATGGGCTGCCTGTGGGGTGGAGTAGTTGGGAATAAATTTTTTCTCTGTTTCCTGAACTTCCAGCTTTTCAGACAGTAGAGTAACACAACTGATCTTTTACAGCAGAAACAGTGAGAAATTAGGTTTTGGTACTTGAATTTGGGCAGCTTTGGACAATGTAACAGAGGCTGACATGTTTGGTGTCTTGATGGCAGCATCTCCTTTGAGAATGGAGCTTTCTGTGGGATGGATGAATGGAATGTAGTTATGGAAGGCACTAGGGGAAGAAGGGAGCTGGGCTGTTGGCTTGGCTCAGCATCTTGTGGGAGCTCAGCCTCATTTCCCTTGCTTGGGAACATCCTGACTCCAGGCACAGGAAAGGGTTATGGCTCTTTCTCAGCTCCAGCCCCCAGGAATATTCTGGATCCTTGTTCACCTGGATGGGATAAGAGGTTTCTGGGGTAGGTACAATAGGAAGCCTTAAATGCAGTGGCTGGATGAGAGGATCCTTCCCTGCCTCCTGGAGTGAGATGCCAGAGGAAGGACCAAAGCTTTTTAAAATTAAAAAGGACACAAAAGGGTTTGGCTCACAGACTGAAATGCACCCTGGCAGCAAAGATGAAAGGCTGTGGTGTGGGAGCAGGAATTCAAGTCACAGTTGTGGCATCCACCTTGGCCTTGAGATTGGATTGAGTGGGAACTGTTGGAGCTGAAGGCTCCATCCAGGTTTGAATGAAATCTGTCAGTGGAGAAACCAACTGGCTGTTGCTTCCCTGCTGGTGCCTGTTTGGGAGATGTTCCTAGCATGGGGCTGTAAGAGGTGTGAGGGGGACATGGTGGTGTCCTGGTGCACCTGGGAGATGTGGCTGAGGGGATTTGGGGAGCAGCTGTATTCCAGCAGCAGGACCCCTGCCACACACCCATCCTGGCTGCCCCACGGGCTGAACCAGGGGTAGTGGAGCAGGAGGGATCCCCTCTGCAGCCAGGTTTGAGTAGCCTTTGCTCCTCCAGCCTTGAAGGACCTTGGTCCTTTGGCTTGTCCTCATCTCCAGCCACGGAGGTGCCACCGGTCACTTGGGAGATACCGAGAGTGACAAAGCAGTGCCAGCATTTCACACTCTCCAGGCACTGACTGGGATGTTCACATTGGCTCTTCCTAACCTTCCAAGATCCTCCTTCCCTGCAGATGGGAAATGAAAATCCTTGGCATGGGCACGGAGCAGTAGAAGCAAGTCAAGTAAGGTGACTCAGCCAAAAGAGAACAGGGAGGAAGAGAGCTGTCCAAGGCTGGGTTGGTGCAGCAGGGCATGGGCACATGGAGCAGAGCAGGGCAGCTCCTCCTCCCCAGCACAGAGCAGCTGAGTGCTTGTACCTCTCTCTTACCCAGTGCACAGCTCTTCCAGGCTGTGGAAAATGAGAGGGCTTGGAAGCGCTTCCCCTGGTTGATCCAATCCCAGCGTTGGGCTTCTGTAAATCTCCCTCAAGTGCTGGCAGTGCTGCCAAGCCCTGCTGCAGTGTGGGGAGAGCAGGTCTCTCCCTGCTTCCCTCGCCGTGCCCAGCTGTTCCAGGGCAAATCCAAACTCCTCTTGGCAGGTCGGTGAGAGCTTTTCAAACACTCGGCCTAGGAGTCATTTGTTACTAACAAATGGGGGATTTGCCAGGACACGCAGCTCCATCTGCTCTGGCATCCTGTCCCCTCCAGCAGCCTTGATGGATCTGCTCGAGGAAGGCAGGGGAGCAGGGAAAAAAAAAGAAGGCATTTTTCCCATGGAAGGAAAAGCACTTCTGCAGTCTGTTTGAGCAGGGTTTCCTGGGCTGGAGCATCCTTGTGCCATGTGCTGGCCTCAGCGCTGTCAGCACCAGCTCTGCAGCTCATGGACAGTCTGAGGTGAGAGCTGAGACATACATTTTTTATGACTGTTTTGCATTTCACCTCTGAATGCCAGGGAGGCTGAGCTGCAGCCAGCCAGGATCTTGGTGTGCTTCCTGCATGGAGTGGGTTTTTTTTCTCTTTTTTCCCCACATGGTTAATGAGAGAAACGATTTTAGAGGTCTTTTTCCAACCTAAATGCTTCTGTGATTCTATAATCTGTTTATTCTCTTCCTGTAAAATTCCCCCATGTGTTCAGTGTGTTAAAATCCCTCCAATGATTCTGTGAATGGAGCCAGCTCTGAGCTGGCCTCTCTGAGCCATCACCTCGGTATGTAGCAGGTGTGTTGCTCACCCCTTATATGCAAGTAAATATCAAGGAATGTGTGTCCCACAGCAGGACAGTGCACACTCTCCAAGTCTCAAATCCTTGTGTTTGGGATTGAGCTTTGTGGGGAGCATTTGGGGATGTATCTGTAGCTGGGACAGCTGGTGGTGGCCACCTCTCTGGTGGTCATTTCATTTTGGGTTTGGCAGGTTGTTTTGGTTGTGGTGCTGGTGTGCTGTGCATGACCAGTTAGGGATTAGTGTGAATATTCACATTCCTGGTCACCTGAATCTGGGGATGCATCAGGCTGAAAATCTGTCCTTTGCTTGTCCCAGGGAACAGGTGGGCTGGTGATGGTAGGGCCCCAACCACGTCCCTCGCAACATCTCAGGGTTCTGATCAGCCTAAATCAAGTGTGAAACCACAGGGGGTGCTGAAGGGGGTTGAATGGGGCTTGGGAACACCCAGGGTGAGCAGATCCAAAGAGGCACAGCGAGAAGAGCCTGAGCAAGGGGCTTGCAGAATAACACCCAAACCTGGAATTGTTGGGTTTTTTTTCATTAGAAGTTCTTGAAGTGGTTTGGTTTGAGCTGCTGCAGCCTCCATATAAGCCATGTCTTGGCTAAGAGCCCTCTGTCTTGCCCACTGAGCTCTGTCTGTGCCATGCAGCCGTCCTGACTCTGCTTTCTGTGTCTCTCTGTGTTTCACAGTATCCAGACCTGAGCCAGGAGTCCGGCTCTCCATTTGTCTTTATCTGCACGAATCCCCAGGAGATGGTTCTCAAGTTTCCCATCAAAGGAAAACACAAAATCTGTAAGTAGTAAAGTTTCCCCAGGTGCCCCCCCAGCCCTCAGAGCCGGTTCCCCTTGCCCACCCCAGCTTGCTGCTGCCAGATGAGTTCCCAACCTTCGCCGGCTGCTCTTTGATCTGGAGGTGTTTGTTTAATGGCTTGAGTACATCTGTAATATTTTTTTTTTGTCTTCAGTTCCCCCTTTTCCCCAGATGTTGCTTCCTTCCACATACATCCTCTGCAAACACTTGGGGAGTCAAAGAGCAGTTGTGTCAGTGGCTCATCTGCCAGCACCAGCATGGGTCAGGATGGGAGTTGGTGCAGCAATGCCCAGGCAGATCCAGGCAACCTCTGTGTCCTGCAGTTCCAAACCACACTCTTGCCCCTTAGGGCAGTGAGGGCTTGAACAGCAAGAGCTGCAGGGCTGGATGGGATGGGATGGGATGGGATGGGATGGGATGGGATGGGATGGGATGGGATGGGATGGGATGCCCTGTCCTGGCAGAGCACACGGGGAAGCGCCGCAGCATCTGTCCGTGCTGCGCTTGCCAGCGCCGTCAGTCCCTTTTACAAGCCACCAGCCCCTCTGCAGGCTGCCAGTTATCCCTGCTATAAAAAGGATGGAGGAGGGAATGCGGCAGCTGGGGAGCCCGCAGTCAGCTCCGTCCTTATTAGCAGCCTCCCTCCCCAGCGCACAGCCCGGGGAAGGCACCGCACGCGCTTGCAGGGGATGTGAAAAATTAATTTGACGGGCTAAAAGCAGCAGAAGCAGGAAGAGTCTTGGCTGTTTGTTCAGCAGAGCTGACAACTGGGTGATCTCCCTCCTTTCCACATGGATCCTTGGGCTAGTACCTGGGGTTCGGGAGTGTTGGGATTTCTCAGGACTGGTTAATAAGGGCTTTTTTGAAGCACAGCAGAGAGTTATTTTTGTTGGTTTGAGGGTCTTTTTCCCTCTCTTCTCAGGGAATCACCTTTCTCCCACAGCTGGGCTTTGGGATGTCCTGCAAAACCATTTGGTTTCTTCCTTGCCTTTTTGAGCAGCAGCTGGGAGGTGTATTCAGCCAATGCTGACCAGTGCTTGGACACCTGCGGGCGTTTGAATCTTGCTCATGGTCCTTCCCCTAGATGGGTTAATCTGAGTGCCAGTGAGCAGGCAGGAGTTATTTAGGATGCAAATCTTGGCTGTGGGTTAGCCTTGTGGCCCTTGTGTGCTGGTGCAGCCACTGCATCCTTTTTCCTCTTGTTTTAACCTCACTTTGCCCTCTCTCTGCCAGGCTCTCGTGCTCCTTCACTCCCACCTCTGCCTCTGTGTGGCCGTGGGTGGGAGAGGGTGAAGCTGCTCTGCGGCTCCTGCCTGTCTGCCTTGCCGGGTGCAGGTGCTGCCAGTCCCCTCCCCATCTGTCACATCATCTCCTTTGTGTTGTGACACTTTCCTGCTTGGAGAGGGATCAGTCTAACAGCCTGGAAGGGAGCCGGCTGTGCTGGCGGCTGCCTGTGCTCCCACTGCCACTGCTGGCCCTGCCTTCCCTGCCCTCCATCCCAGTAGGAGCTGTCACAGGAGCAGCACAGGGGGGCTGTGGAGCTGTGTGCTCACCTCCCAGAAGGGACATGGTCCGTCTGGGTGATATTTATGACAGCCTGGGGAAGGAGCAGGGAAGCCTTTGACCTTTCAGCGGCGCAAGGCGCTGTTTTAATAGAAGCTGGCATTGCATCCCAGCAGTCAGAAGCTTAATTCTCCCAGCTGGAAGCTGAGCAGAGGGAAGGTGCCAGCTCACATCCTCACTTGGGCTTGCTGGCTGCCCTGGTCTCCTTCAAACCTGGCTCAAGCCATGACAAAATGCCAGTTTGTCCTGTTGGGAAGCCAAGCCAGAGCAGTTTTCCTTGCCAGATAACAGCATGGACCTCGCCACAGTGACATCCGGATGCTTCTCTGTTGCAAATTGTTTCTAGCAGCCTGGGGATGGGAAAAAAAAACCTAGCATGGCTCAATTTTTGCTGCCAGGGTCATTGTTTTTGTGAAAGGAGTGGGCACAGTGTTGCATCTGGGAGCACAGCTCTCCCCTGATATGTCCCCTTGTAGTTTCAGTGCGAGAGGACAAAGCTCATTGGCCTTTGTCATGGGAGATTTCCTTGAATCCAGGCAAAGCTACCCTGAAGCATCAATTAGAAGCCTCCCTCCAACAGCCAGTGTCTGGAAGAGTGAAGAGGAGCAGAGGACATGGTGTGAGACAAGAGGCCTTGAATCATTGAGCAGAAAGAGCAAGGGACCCTGGGGCTTTGCCTTATTTTTAGCCTTTTCTTAAAGGTTACCTGTGTGGTGTGTGGTGTTTGCAAGCTGGAAGAGCAGAGGAGCTCCCAGTGTTTTTGGGTCCAGGAGAAGCAGGCAGGCACATGCAAAGCAACAGCCCTGGTGACAGTAGGGTGGTGTTGGGGGACCAGAGCATGGAGAGAAGGTGAACTTGCTGCCTTTCTCCTGCCAAAGCCACTCCTGAAGTGAGGACAGGGTGGTCTGACACACTGCTGGGCTGCCAGTGACTGGAAACAGCACTTGCAAGGAGGGGACTTCTTCCCCATCCTTAGGTGGGAGGGAAAGTTTTCTCTGGGGTGGCCAAGGGAATGGAGGGTATCCCAGAACATCTCCAAGCCATGTTTCAGTTTGTGGATCTGTGGCATTTGTGGTCTGCAAACTGTGTTTGTTGAACTGGAATTGAGAAGTTTTCTTGGTTTGAAGAGAAGGTGATGGTCACTGGCTGGTTAGGAGCCATTTTCTCTGGAGAAGTACCTGCTTCTTGTGGCACATGGACATTTAGCAGCAGATTTTGGAGCAGTGGTTGAAGCAGAACTTTGGAGCCTGGTCTGTCTTGCCCTATCTCTGTTCCCAGCTACAGAGACAGGATGAGGCTGGCATTTAGAGGATGGGAAGATCCAAGGGAGCAGCAGGAAGGCAAGTCCTGGGGAGCTGTGGCGTTAGAGGAGGTGACCAGTGTTGGCTGCTGGCAGAGCCTCTCTGGGAGCTGGGAGAGCAGGAGCATCCCTGCATTACTGCTGACAGGAAGAAGAGGACAAGGACATTGCTCTGAGCCACTATGCCTGGCTGCTGGCTTCTGCAGCAGGAGTTACCCAAAATCCCATGATTTGGTGTCCTGCTCCTCTCCCAGGTGGGAAAGCAGAGCTGGCACTGAAGCCCCCAAGGGTGTGAAGGACAAGGAGAAGGCAGTGTTTACTCCAGGTCCCATTGGAGCTGCTGGCTGAGGTTTTCCCTGGTGGCAAAGGCAGCAGATGGCCTTGGAGACCACCAAGCTGGCACGTAGCAACGTGGAGCAGGTGTCCCCATCACACTGGTATCCCAAGCTGAGGGTTTGCTGTCCCACTCCTGCCTTTTGCCGCACCGTGCAGCAACACATCCCTGCCACGTTTCTGGATGGTTCCCATCTCCTCCAAGCACCCAGTGGGCAGGCACAGGGATTGGTTCCCCCCCTGGTAGTGTCAGGCGAGTGCTGGATGTGAATTCACTCCTCTCCTGGCTGAGTTTCCCCCCCTTGGCCGCGTTGGACACGCTGCCCCTGGCTCCTGGGTGTCGCGCCTGCAGAGGGAGGCCAGGGCGGCTGGAAACGCCTGGCTCCTCAAGCACGATAATTGGATGTGACAGGAACACACTAACTAGGAGACCTCGCTGCCTCCAGCTCATTTGCATTGCAAATAGCATTTAAAAATAAAGAGTGATGAGGGTTTGTTGTGTTTTTCTTTTTTTCTTTAATCCCCTCTTTACAGGGAAGCTGGATGCAAAGATCCATCAGGGAGCAAAGAAGGGGTTAATGAAGCAGAAAGCCGTGGGGTGAGCGCCGGGGGAGCAGCACTGGTTCCCATGAAGCACCCAACTGCCTCTGAAGGGAGCCAGGATGGTCTTCAGCTCTGGAGAGCAGGTGCAAGATGGATCCCTGGTCCCAGATTGTGTTTAGGTATTGCTTTCTCTCTTGTATTCCAAAAGTATTAAAAGAGACTTGTTTTCACCAAGACCTGGCCCAGCAGCCCAGTGCTTCCAGGGAGGTCCCACGCTGCAGACAAGGGTGGGTGGGAGGATGCAGTTCAGCAATCACTGGCACCCACAGGAGCAGCATGGGGAGCTCTCTGGCCACAGGCAGCCCAGCTCCAGCCTGGCTTTGGCAGGTTCTCCCTCTCCAAAGGTGAGGTGTTTTTTGCTCTGTGTGGTCAAACACATGGAGGAGAAGGATGAGAAGCTGAGGGGATGAGTGGGATGGCTCCCAACAGCCAGAGAGCCAAGTGGGGATGGGAGGTCTGGGGTTAGAGGTGGGCTCTGTGCCTGCCCACAGGTGCTCTTCCAGCCCTTGGGAATCACTGCTGAGTGCCCAACCGTACATCCTTGTGCTGATTGGTACCAAAGCAGCAGCCTGGCCCCAGCAGCTGTGTGTGGAACATCTTTGGAATAAGCTGAATTTTGCCTTTTTCTCCCTCACACTGTGCCTCTCCCCACATTACCACGCTCATCATGCACTGGTGTGTGCTGGGCTGTGATCCCTTCGTGCTGGGCTGCTCCAGGCTCTGCCTTGCCATGGTCTAAGAGCTCCTCCTCCTCCTCATTACCCTGAGCCCACCCTGCTCTGGTGGGGATGGAGTGATTCCCCCCAGCACTCCCAGCATCCCTTTTCCTCCTCTTTCCCAGGAATGTGGTGGGAGCTGCCAGCTCGACTGCTCAGCACAGTCCCTGGGTGTGGGTTGTCCCAGCCCTCTGCCTCGTGGGTGAGGAGGAGGAGGGTGCAGAGCCTTCGTGCTGCAGCACTGGAAGTCGTCCCATGCCATTTGCCCTGGGATTTATCTTCTGGCTCCATTTGCTGCCTGTGGGATCTCTGAGGTGCTGGAAATGATGGGGCTGGATCCACATTATCCCTCAGTGGGAAAACCCTCGTGGGAGTTCCAGCTCTGAGCTGCCTACGATTAGCACCATGTTATGGTGTGGGAGCTGTTGTTCAGTGTGGCCAAGGGTGATGGGATTCTCCTGCTTCCTTCCTCCTCTGGCTGCATCCCTTGTGTCCCACCACTGTGGTCCAGCCAGCTGTGCTGGGATTCCTGGACACTTCCCTGCACTGTTGGTACATGGAGATCCTGCTGTCCTGGTGCATGTCCCTTGAGAGTGATGGAGAGTATCTGTGGTGCCAACAGGAGCAGAGCTGGGGAGGGATGGGGGCTTGGGGAGTCATTCCAGGGTGCTGGTGCCTTGAGAAGGAGGCAGGAGTGGGATGCAGGGTGGAAGTCAGCACCCAGGGAGGACATGCCAGGCTGGCTCCAGGTGCTGCAGCTCCTGCTCCTGTCCCAGGAGTGCAGCACCATCAAAGACCATGACAGAATGGGATCTCGTACCAGCTCTGTGATCCCACAAAATCCCACCTTCATCACACCTAGTGCCGGTTAAAATCCCCATCCCAAGGTACTGCTTCTCCAGATGGGTCACCCATCCCATGCCTGAGCCAGGCTTTGATATGAAACCATGGTTTGGCTCCATATTAAACCAGATCCATCTCCTGCACCCACCTCTGACTATGGCTGCTGCCTTGTCACCTCCCTGTCCTTTGTCACTCACAGCTCACATCTGCCTGGTGCCTGCAGGTTTCACCCCTAAGGGTTCCACATCCACCATCATCTGTAGGATCCTGTGGGATCTCCAGCACCTGCAGGCAGGCTGGATCACAGGCCCTGCTCGTGGTCGTGCCAAAACATCATTGGAGCTGAGATCATTCCCAATGGACCTGCCTTGCCTGGCAGGGATTTTATTTTTCTTCTGTGTTAGTGGCATCACAATTTTACCAGGAAAGATGCATTGGCCCATCCCTGGTTCATCCTGTGTTCCTGACTGATGCTGGTTTTTCCACCCTTGGAAGCACCATTCCTGGTCTGAGATTTGCTGAGCATCACCACCAAATGCCCATAAAACCTTTTACCCAATCCTTGAAAATATTTCTGTAAAAACTGACCTGGTTTTATTAATACATAATATAATATAATTGGAGCCTTCTAGCATTGGCTCTGTGCTCTGTGAGGACAGTTTCTCCTCATCAAGATAAGGAAGGATTTCTCCTCTTTATTTTGGGCTGTCAGAATTCTCATCCCTCTTTTCCTGTTGATTTGAACATCCTCTGGCTCCCTCCCACTTTCCCCAAAAGCCCCAAAAGCTGGTGAGACACCCAAACCTCTGGCCTTCCTGGCATTCTTTTCCAGGGATTTGGGTTTTGTGTTGCCCTTGTTTGGGGCACAAAGCATCAGAAGAAATTGGCATCTCCTTAGGTGCTCTCCTGAAACCACACTGGATGGTGGCACTCGAGGAATGGTGGCACCTCTTTGGGCTGGAATACTTACAGCACACCCTGGCTGGGTGGATGGAGCTGGTGCTGCCCTCTCCCTCTGCAGGACCTGCAGATTTGTGCATATTCCTGCTCCATACCCAACCCTGACAGATGCCAGCTGGGATCCTGCATCCCACCTCCCATTGGCACATCTTGTCACGCTGGTTCACCTTCCTGGTTTTGGGGTGTAATGGAGACACAGCACTGGGACATCCCCACTGAGCTGAGCCGAAATTTCCTCTCCAAACAGTGGGGCTGATGCTGAGGCTTTGGGACAAGGAGCAGAGGTTTTGGATTGTCTGGGGGCTAGGGTTGAGATGAGATGGATTTTCCTCCCTGGTCCGCAGGGCCAGTGCTGAGGCTTTAGGTAGGAAGTGGAGGGTTTAGGGGACATGTCACCTCCAGGGCATGAGAACGGCTGGGTGCCCAGGTGCTCTCTCCATCCAGAAGACTGTTTGGAAAGGAAAGGTGGCAGCGTGGGGCCGATGGTGGATTTTGAGGTAGGTGTGAATGCCTGAGGTGGTGACTCCCGCCCCCTGCCTTTCTGTGCTGGCTCAGGGAGCCAAAAGCGTGGCCTTGGGGGAACTGTGCCGGCCTGAGGTCTCACAAGACACCACCCAGAGCGTGAAACACCCCCGAAAGAATCACCCCGCCCTTTCCGAGGAGGCGCTACGGCGGCTCCGGCTCCGGAGGCAGGGCCCGCTCCGCTCCGGGCTTTGTCTGTG